ACATTAGAATGTGATACAACACCACGTAAATAAAAAGAAGCTTCAAAATGAAATAAATTGGTAAGGGAGAAACTCGATCATAAACATAACACACAAATTACTCTCTTTTTTATTTCTAGATGCTTTCACAGCTGCAGCGCGTTCTTCAGCAGCCTTATTCTCTTCCATTAGGCAACTCAACTCTTGAACCGCATTTTCCATTAGGCAAAACAGGGCATTCAATTAGGCTTGAACCAGAATTGTCCACACGGATGTAAATCTGGTATAATTTGAGATTTGAGGTTAAGGGCACTTTTGAAGTAGCCATGTTGGTCCAGCACAGATTCTGAACACGTGCCATGCTTTTCCCATGCATGTGACCAAAATGATGAACCACTGTTGCTCGGGCAGGCAAGCATTGGCCAACTTTGTTGTATTCGACTAATCAAATCTAAGATCTAGACTCAAAAAAGGCGAGATTTTAGCATATGGGTTTTACTTGATCTTTTGATAGATGAAAAATGATTCGTATTGTCAAAAACCAAATTTATCAAGTCGTACCTTTCTTTGATCGTAAGGATTGCTCGACTCACAGTTTGAAGGGTAATAACCATCATTCTGATCTTGAACTTTTCAACAAATCTATAGACACATGGCATCTTTAAATTTGCTACTATCTAAACATCATTTAAATGTCCTGAGTAATCTGAACACTTTCCACATAAATGTGGGGCAGCAGCAGCAGCATGAGGTAAAATGCAAACAAGTTTCCAACTAAAAAAGGGATAAACAAACTTAATGTGGTTGATGTATCAATCTGCTAAGAGAGTTCTTTTATATCCACTTCAAACCTCTCCTGGACCTGCAATAAATTATGGAGCCAGGCATCAAGACATGAAAGCAGCTAAAATAAATGCAAAATCTATATACACACACAATCAAATCCCATGCCTGATTGAGAACATCAGAGTCCGAAGTAGATGAAACAAATGTGATTGCAAGACATTTGGTACCAAACCTTCCAGCCATCATCCACTGCTATACATCTTTCTTTGTATATGGATTCAGCAGCTAATTCTTTTCAATCATCAATCACAAAACCCCGAATAAAAAAATAAAAAATAAAACCAAGCCAAATGTATAATATACAAGTTCAACTAAACGCAAGCTTTAGAGCAACATTCAAGAACAATGGTTCTATTCATTGTTTACACATCCAAAAGTAAATATTTAATTTCACTACACAACATGGAGTATGTAAAAGGAACATAAATTAATCAAATAAACTCACTGATTTGAAGAGTAATATGACTTTTTAAGCTGAATATTAGATGCACAAATAAAATTTCGCTTATTACATGTAATCCAGCAGTATATTAATATAAAATCATTATAAAAATTAGCTAAATCTTATAAAATTCCCATAAAATTATTGAAATTAAAGTAAATTCTGTGTGGGTTTATCTTCACTCCACCTCATTTTTTTTTGGAAACAGTCTTCTACTGTTGAAAGCAAATAAATTATCAAAACCAACCTGAAGTGGTAGCAGTGTATGGTGATAAATTGATAATCACTGTCATTAGCATAACAGTTCATCGTCTAAGTACGTGAACCTGACCAGAGGCAGAATTTGAATTCTTCGGACTGGGCAGAAAGGGGATAGCGATTGGAGCGGTTTTAGATATAAAATCAGATTGATAACTTGATGTATGGGCTAAATTGAGACCATAGTTGAAGTCAGCAAGACATGGGCAGTCGAACGGTGGTGATCCGCGAACAAGGTGTTGGCCGGAGGAGACGATTCCGGTAGTTTTTACAGTTTCAGGTTGCTGGTTTTTTAGGTTGATTTCAGCCGTACTACTGAATGATTTTGGGAAATGTTGGGTGGATATTGTAGAAGATGTTAAGGAAAATCTATTGAGACCAATTTTCGGCGATTTTGGGGGCTGGACGGTGGCGGAAAATGGATTCTTAGGTGGCGCCAAAGAGTAGGTTAAAATGGAAGGGGAACCAAAATGGAGAGGAATGAACGGAAAGGAGGCGTGAATTAGTTTAGGGTTTGGGTTATTTTTGGTTCCGTATATAATTTAATTTGGGAAAAAAACTTTTGGCAACGTTTGATAAATTTAATTTGGGAAAAAAACTTTTCGCAACGTTTATCAAACGTTGCGAAAGATGACTTTTAGCAACGTTTTTCGCTACGTTTGATAAACGTTGCTAAAGGTAAAACATTTCGCAACACTAAATAAATGTTGCTAAAGGTGTCTATCGCAAC